GGACCGAAATCTCACTTCTACTATCAAACCCTAACCATAAACTCATAAATGTGGAAGAAAAGGGGAGATTAATGAGTATGATACTTACCTTAAGTGTTTTTAGCCTTTAAAATACTCTTAAAGTGATCCCAAGTAAACCCTAGGAGAGCTATGACGCACCTCTTCTTTCTCTATTTTCTCTTCTTTTTTTTTCTGTCTCATTTTGCATTTGATAAAGTATAGAAAATGGCCATGCACTGTGATGGATACACAATACGCCACTACACATAGCACAGAGAGGTCCTCCCTCACTCAAAGATGGCTGTGCACCACAGCGAACAATCTATACTCCACAGCGTATAGCACAGCAACTTCAACTTTTCTTTTTCTTCTCCTTTTGATGCCTGGGTGGTCTACCTCGATATCGGACCCACAACTAGGGCTGAAATAGCATCAAACATAATCATTAGACCTCTCTAGCCACACACCACTTCCACTTACTTAATTACCCTAATTAGGTTTAATTAATCAGGAAATTAAAACTCAGGATGTTACAGTTCGAGTGCTTCAAAACTGCTAAGGAGGTATGGGATCATCTTGCTAGCTAGTATACCTCTTCTGATTTATCCAATCATTTCCAAATTACAAAAGGACTTGGCTATTCTCAAAATGGAGAAAGGCTAACTATTGCTTGACTTTCTTTCTAAGATAGAGGCTATTTGGGACCAACTAGCCTATTCTGAGCCTGCTTTTAAAAATAATGAGGATGCTAAAGTTTTCTTCAAGTGGCGAGATTAACTTCATCTTATACAATTCTTGATGGCTCTTGTTGATGATTTTGAGCCTATTTGTGCCTCCCTGCTCTACTAAAGCCCACTTCTGACTCTTGAGGATGTTCTTCCTTGTCTCCATTCTGAGGAAACTTATTTGGGTCTTCTCGAAAAGTCCCCTAACATAGCTTTTGCTGCTCCTGGAAGGAATTTTAAGCTTTGTCATCACTGCCCTTAATCTACTCACACTTTTAATTAGTGTCCATATATTGAATGCAGAATTTGCCAGAAGAAGGGACATATTGGTATGAATTGTCCTTCTTTGACTTATCATTATTGTAAGAAGCCTAGACATCTCATTGATCAGTACCTACTTGACCTCCCAAACCTGATCAAGGGAGGTCATTCAAGTCTGGTTCCTCATCATCCAAGCCTGCTCTATCTATTACTAATCCACCTATTGCTACTACTTCTACTTTAGGATCCTCTACTGCTGAGCTTGAGTCTTTACTTTACAAGCTTACCTCTAGCTCTTCCAGTCCACCTGATACCTTAGCCACACCTTTAGGTACACCTTCTTAGTATTTTGATTCTGCCTGTTGTAATCATATGACTAGTTAGAAACACTTCTTCTCCTCCATGTCACCTAATACTACTGCTCACCCTATATATACTGCTGATAACTCTCAAATGCCTGTTAGTCATATTGGTACTATTTCCTTACCCCTTCTGTCCATTCATGATACTTATTTAGTCCCTAACATTATTTTTAATCTCCTATCGGACAATTAGTTGATATGGGCTATGATGTTTTATTTAACAAACGTGGTTGTATTGTTTCTAATTCTCAGACAGGAGAAGTTATCGAGACTGGGCATAAGATTAGTCAAATGTTTGAGCTCAATTCCTTACATCTTCTTAAAGTCACTTCTTCTAGATTGTGTGCTCCCTTCACTTCTACTTCCTTTGAATTATGGTGTTGTTATCTGGCTATTCCATCTTTAATTGCTTTGCGTCCTTTACTTTTTACTAGTCTTTTAGGACACGTTAATGTTGAGACTTTACATTGTATCTCTTGTCAAACTACTAAACAGCCTACTTTATCATTTAATAAAAATGACTACTGCTAATGAGTCTTTTGATTTAATTCATTCTGATGTTTGGGGCCCAACACCCACTCCCTCTATGGAGGCTCATGATATTTGTGATTTTTGTTGATGATTTCTCCTATTATACTTGGATCTACATGATAAAAAGTCAATTTGAGTTGCCTTATATCTATATTAAATTTGCTACCATAGTTCGCACTCAATTCTCTAAATTTATAAAAATTCTTCACCATGATGATGCCTTGGAATACCATGATTCTAAATTGCTCAAATTTCTTGATGCTCAAGGTACAATCTCCCAATCCTCATGTCTTCACACCTCTCAGCAAAATAGCTGAGCTAAACAAAAATATCATCTGTCGCACCCAAAAAATGCAATGTGGATGGCGCGAGAGTAGAGGTTCTGGCCTTCAGGAAGAAGATCGAAGAAATGGGAGTCGCTACTAAAATTTTGAAGAAAATCTTGGAAAACCATTTAATGGTGGATAAGGATGGTCTGTGAAAAATAAAAAATAGGTTTGTGAGTCAGTTAAGTGTGGGGAAGGTGTTAGGCACCCTACGACACCTATTCGTCAGAATGGTTACCTGAAGTTTGTTGTACTCTATTAATATAGTTTTATAATTATTTTAGTTATCTTTTTTATATTCATGTGTTTAAAAAATGATAAGAATTAAGTTAGAAATATTTATTTATTTACAAGGGAGGACATAACTCAGAATCTGACTCTGAGACATACGTACCCTGTAGTGGGGATCAAAGTCCACGTAGTTTGGGCTTGAAAATTGTTGGTGAAAATATTTTTTTTGAAGAGAAATTAATTAGAAATGATTAACTATTTTGCAAATAAAACAATTTCTGAAACTTTGATGTGTGTTTTAAATTACAAAAAGTAATTTAATTTTAACTATTTTCTCAATTTTTTTAAATTTTTGGAATAAAGAAAAGAGAAGAGTTGAAAAATTATTTTTATTTTTATTTTTATATTTTATGACGAGAACTTAACTGCTATACCTGCAGAGCCTTATTGGCTTATACGGTAATACAATTATTCTTTATATCTGTGGAGAATCCAGAATTTCACACGATAAAAGAGCTTGATAACTTAGTTTATTTACTCAAATTTTTAAATATTAATAATATCATTATATTTTTTTAGTGCATTCATACATACATACTTTTTTTTTAAAAGACTCTTAATCATCATACTTGTAAAGCCTTATTAACTTTTACGGTAATATGATTATCCTAAATATCTATGGAGATTCAAAATCCTCACACCATAAAGGATTAAATATTTTAAATATATTTTAATGCGTAATTATACAATTTACATTTTTAAATATAGAAATCTTAATCGCTATACCTATGAAGTCTTATTGACTTTTACGATAAGATGATTATTCTAGAGGTCAATAGATATTCAAAAATCTCACATAACCAAAAGATTAATACATTAATTTAATTAATTAATTTTATTATAAAAAATTTATAATTTTATTTATGAAATTTATTTATTTATTTATTTATTATATAAGTTAATGACCATGACATTTGCGAGGACTTATTATCCTTCACAATGAGGTGATTAAGTTGAATATCTATGAAGATTTTTTAAACCTCTCATGATACCATTCAAATGTTTTAATTGATTATATTTGTGAAATAATAAGAACAAACTCCTTCATTTAACCACACATTTAAAATCTCCATATGAAAATGATGTCATTTAAAATTAAAATTATCTTCAAGAATTAATCAATTAATATCAAATGAAAATTAAACACAAAATAATGTATGACTTTGAGAAATAAAGAAATAGAAATTAAATTTAGGTTGATTAATACTCTTTCATGCTAGAAGACAAACTTGAATCTAACTTAGCACTTAGCTCAGCAATAAAAATTTTTGTTAAAAATATTAGAATCAAAAACATCATGGGAAAGTATCATAACTAAATTAACCTCATTTGTAAAAGCAAATAAACACATGTTAGAGCATATTTAAGGTAAGCAACATTATTTAGAGAAAGAAAACACAATGTTACAAAGCTACTTTTTCTTCAAATATTTTCATGAATATTCCCTATCCATACTCAAAACTTCCAAATTTTGTTATTTCAAATATAAGGAGTTATCATTAAGGATCCCTTTCATGACAAAAATCCACACACATATCTGTTGCAAGACTTTAGAACAGGGACAAGATAAAACAAAAACCAGTATAACATACCAATAGTTGAGCAGAGAAGGGAGAATAAAATAACTGCTCAATCTTCTTACAGAGATGCAAACAAATAGTGAGCTTTCAGTCACGCTTATGAACCAAAATGCTGCTTTTTCTCACCTGTAAGATGCAGCCTTCATTCTTTTTCTACTGAGCTAAACTTCTTGTCCTTTGCCTCTCATCGTCCTCTTATTTCTCCCTTCCTCTCCTTTTTTAGAAAGCTCTCTCTTTTAGACTCTCGGTCGTCTTTATTTCTCCTTCTCTTTTTTCTCTCTTTTTTTTTCCAGAAAAACTCATCTCTCTGCCTCTTTTTTCTCTCAGTCCCTGTTTTCCTTTCAGCTTTCTCTTCCCTCTATCTATCTCCTCTCGTCCGTCTCCTCTCTGTCAGTCTCCTCTTATCTGTCTCCTCTCATCTGTCTCCTCTCCTTGTCTCCTTCTCTATTTGTCTCCTCTCATCTGTCTCCTCTCGGCTATTTTTTTCATCTCAGTTTTCTCGCTGCTATTTTTCGTCTCAATTTTTCTCTCTTTCTTCTCACATTCTCTTCCCCCTGTTTTCGATGCTCTCCTTCACTCTTTAGTCCCCCTGTCCATTTTCTCTGCTTGTGTGAGTCTGTCACTTTGGATCCTCCCCGTGGCTTGCTTTGGCCCTGCTCTTTTTTTAATCTCTCTTTGTCTCTATTTTTCCCTTCCTTCTCTAGCTTTTTTCTCGTCTATTTTTGTTTGTTTTCTTCTTCTCAGTTTTTCTCCTCTCCATGCTCTATTTTTTTCTTCTCGTGTATCTCTCCTTTGGTCTCCCATTTCCCTTATCTCCAGTCCTCCTTTTTAAAGCAAATGAAGCTTGCATGTGAGAGCTGTTTGCGTGCTTCCTTTCTACTCTGTTCTTCTCTCTTTTTCTCTTCTTTTTTTGCTGCAACGTTCATGCGTGCGTCTCTAGCTGAAAGTTCAAGTCTGCTGCCTGCTCTGCTCTTGGCTTCTTTTCTCTATGCCCTTTGTGTATGTGTGTACGTGTTCTGCTCTGTGAAGCTTCCTTTCGTGTATGTGTGTGCATGTTCTACTCTGTGCTTCCTTTGCTCATCTAGTGTTTTTGCAACAAAGGACCAGAATGGATGGCTAAACGCTGGTTCCAGCATTTAACCTTTGGTTTACACACACACACACATATTTAACCACAATTTTTTAGTTGTTTTTTTTTTGAAAAATAATCCTTAAAGGATTGAATTTTTATTTTTTATATTTATTATATTTTTAGTTTTTTTAATGAACTAAAGAAATAAAATCCTAATCAGTAAATTATAATATTAAACCCTATTAATTAAAGTGTTTTTGAAAATATAATCCTAAAAAGGATTAAATTTTATTTTTATTATTTTATATATTTTTTAGTTATTTATTATTATTTTAAAAAAAATGCCGGGACAAAATATAGTGTTCACATCATCATATTCTTAACTCAGTTCGGGCCCTCCTCATTTCTTCTTCCTGTCCTGAACGCTACTCGGGGGAAGCTACTTTAACCGTTGTCTACTACATAAATAAAGTTCCTACCCCAGTTCTTGGTAATATTTCTCCTTTCGAGTGCCTTTATGGTATTCCTCTTGATTATAGTCTTTTAAAAGTGTTTGCCTGTGTCTGTTTTGTTCTTCTCCCTCCATATGAAACTACAAAATTGCAAGCTCATGCCCATGTTTGTTGTTTTCTTGGTTATGACCCTAAGTATAAGGATTATCGTTGCTGGGATCCTATATCTCTTCACATTCGAATCTCTCATCATGTTGTTTTTTGGGAACATATGATGTTTTCATCCTTAAATAATTTCTCCTCCGTTTCTCCTCCTTCACCTTCTATTTTCACAGATCCTTTGCTTAATCTTTTTCTAAGTGACTTTGATGCAGATTCCCCTATAGAGCTCACTACCAACACTACACCTACTCCTGATATGCCTACTGTTACATCTCAAGATGTTTCCACACAAGCCATATCTCCTGAGCCAGTATTATCCAATGATACTTAGCTCCACCGTATAAGAAACTCGCCCTCTTACCTTAGTGATTACTACTGTTTTTCCACTGTTCTCTAGTTATAGGAACCCAAATCCTTTAAGGAAGCCTCTTGTGATCCCTTATGGCAGCAAGCTATGAAGGAAGAATTGCAGGCTTTAGAGAAAATGCATACTTGGGATCTTGTTGATCTTCCTTCTAGTAAAACTCTTGTTGGCTGTTGATGGGTGTACAAAAACAAGACTCATTCTGATGGCTCTTTAAAGCAACGTAAGGCCCACTTAGTGGCCTAAAGGTTTACATAAGAATATGGTGCTGATTATGAGGAGACTTTTGCACCTATTACACGCATGACTTCTATTTACAGTCTTCTAGCCATTGTTACTACTAAGCATTGGTCCCTTTATCATATGGATGTTAAAAATTCTTTTTTGAATAGAGATCTAGAGGAAGAAGTGTATATGAAGCCTCCACCTGGGTATCAACATTTGAAAGATAAGGTTGGTCATCTTCATTGAGCTTTATATGGGCTCAAGCAGGCTCCTTCGTGCATGATTTGCTAGGTTTAATAACACTATGAGTCAGCAAGGCTTTACTTGTGGTCCTCACCACTCAGCTCTTTTTGTTTGATCTACTGCTCGTGGTATTGTTTTGTTGTTGTTGTATGTTGATGACATGATTATCACAGGCAGTGATGATACAAGAGTCTAGGAGCTCAAGATATACTTAGGGTTGCAATTTGAAATGAAGGATCTTGGTAACCTGAACTATTTTCTTGGACTTGAGGTCCATCATAGGAGAGATAGTATCTTTCTCTCTCTCAGGTCAAGTAGGCTATTAATTTGATATCTCGAGCTCATCTTTCTGATGATGAGGTTGAAAATACTCCTATTGAGCTAAACATTCACTATACTTCCACTGATGGCACCTTATTGGATAATCCCACCCATTACCGACAGTTGGTTGGGGGGCATCATCTATCTTACTGTGACCTGCCCTAACATTGCTTATGCAGTCCACATTATTAGCCAGTTTATGTCAGAGCCTTAAACTACTCATTATGTAGTAGTTCTTCAGATCCTTCGGTATATTAGAAGCACTCTATATCATGGGCTTCACTTCTCTGCTAACTCCTCTCTTACACTGCAAGCTTACTTCGATTCCGATTGGGGTGGTAATCATGATGATCAATGATCTACAACTGGTTTCTGTATCTTCCTGGCCATTCCTTTATCTCTTGGAGAAGTAAGAAGCAAACGTTAGCCTCTCGCTCTAGTGCTGAATCAGAATTCCGTACACTAGCAGACACAACTACTGAAGTACTTTGGCTTCATTGGTTACTTGATGAGCTAGGAGCATCTCAAAGCTCCTCCACAAACATCTATTGTGACAGTCAAGCTATAATCAAGATTGCTCACAATGATGTGTTTCATGAATGAACCAAACATATTGAGATTGACTGCCACTTCACTCGGCAGCATGTTGTTAGGGGCACCATCTAACTCATTCCAATTCGAACCAAGCATCAACCAATAGATTTGTTTACAAAGTCTTTTCATCCAGGCCGCTTTCATTTTTGGTAGACAAACTCAAGTTGCTCTCGGTCAAACCATCTTGAGTTTGAGGGGAGATATTATTTAGAATATTCTCCAAATATTCTATAATTATTGTATATATATATATATATCATTCATTATTAGAATATATTATTTGATATTATTATGTAATTATTAATCATTATTAGGTTGTCTTTTTCTTAATGTATATATTGTACCTTTTAGCTCAATAATACATAAGATATTTCTCCATATTTCTCTTGCTTCTATCAATGGGGATGGTAAAGAAATGGGAGGCAAGCTTTTGTAGATGGGACAGCATAGGAGGTGCAAGGAGGTTGGCTTGACTATATGGAACATGTGGCAAGACAAAGAACATGATTTTAGGGTTGAAGTGGTCAAACTTGATTTTCCGTTTGAAGATTTAATTTGAGGCAAAATTGCTTCATTTTAATTACTTTAAAGGCAAAATTATTATGATGAAGACTTTAGGATACTGGTTGCTTTTCTGCAAAAACTTTTCAGGCAAAAAATGGACATTTACCCATTATCATTTCTCCACATATACTTTCAGCTTTCTCTTATTTTTCTCTCAAACTAAAATGCAATTTTTTTTTTCATAATAATTTGATTTTTAAAATTGTTAAACTAAAATGTTTAACAATGTTAAACATTTTAATAACAATGTGATTTTTTTTTCATGTAAATTTAATATAATATATATTGTTGATTTATTCACAACCTTTGCATTCCCTTTCAGCTATATCACTCGCCAACTAAACTACTAATGTTATCATATGATTAGAAAGTACATTGAGAAACCACCATAGAAAATCAATTACGTTTGAGGCCACCAATTTATGAAATTATGGATAAAGACTAAGGTTTTTCTTAGAGTAAATAGACGAACATTAATTATATTTGAGACCACGGATTTATAAAAATTCAGGATTTGCAGCTGGACTTATATGTTGCCGAATGCATAAGGGCGTTTTTGTCAATTTATTTTTTAAGAACCTTATTTCTTTTTGAAATTTTAACAATTACTGCTTCTTAAATATAATTAATTTGCTATAGTGGTCTCTAAATATCATTTCCCTACTTAACATGCTTTAATCTTCAAAATCAATATATACGTGAATTAAAGAAAATAAAGAACCCCACCAATGTCCATCATACAAATTCTTATGGCTCAAAGAATACTTATAAATGTAACCCACATTCTAATAAATTATGTGTTGTATAGTTACCGACCAAACAAATTTTCTTTAACTAGCTAGAGTACTAGTATTTTAACAAATGAATAGTGCCCTTAATATAAATTTTATTAATCATAAGTCTCATGCACACTTATATTATGTGTCACACTGATATCTTAACATGTTACATAACACTTATTGATTAGGGTGGAAATTATTTGGATTAAATGACAAATCAGTCCATAAGCTATGGGTTTAGAAGCATCAAGGACCCTAAACTCATATTTAGTATTAACATTCTCTTTTAACTTTTAAAATGATGTAATATATCCTATTGGTAATAAATATTAACTTTCACTGTTAATTTACCATAAAATAATAGAAAAGGAAAAAATTCTTGGTCATTTTCTGCAATATTTTGGGTATTTGTTTGTAATCGTTGAGGTCCTTTTTTGTTATTTTCTCATCAATTAATTATTAAATTTAACTTTTGTTAATAGTAGGGCTAACATCGTATCATTGTAAAAAGTTGAAGGAAAATATTATATAAAAAATGAGTTTAGGATCCCATATACTTTTTGACCTATTGCCATTTAACCCAAATAATTTTCAACTTGTTGAGCGCATTTATTAATGTTATTGAGACACAACGAACACCGTCAGAGGATTGGATGGATGACTATTTTTCCAGTGGCTCTTCTGGTCTGAAGGTGAGCAAAGGCTTCCAAAACTTGAGAAAACGAGAAGGGACTTTTGGGATCCAAGACTGGCTTCACCTTTCCACTTTCTAAGAATGGTCTTAATTTCTCCAACACAGCTCCTTCAAATATATGCATTATGTAAACAATTGCTGTTGAAGCATTCACAGAAGGAATTATTGATACAAGTTTCCCATTACCACCTTCTTTAACAGCCTTCACTGCTCTCTCTCCATGCCCTGCTTCACATTTATTTAATCAACGTAATAATATTTTATCCTTGTGCTAGCTTGTGCAGCACATACATATATGGATGAGAAAAATATGGAGATTTTCAGTCCAATCATATCAATTAAATATTTAAATTTTCTAGGAAAATTATAATTGTTACTCCCTATACTTTTAGCATATTTTGATACTAGTTTCTATGCCTTTTTTCCGTTGCTCCTAGTTCTTTAAGTTTTGTCTATTTGTAATGTTAGTTAGTATCATTATTGATAGAGTTAAAATTGCTTATGTGTATATAACTCTACTAATTCTGCTATTGAATTGATAAAATTATGATGAATTTGATATTGTAAGAACAAAATGAATACTAACCTTCCTGTCTTTCTATCTATGCTAGCCATCATATCTTCTTTCGTTTGAAGCTTCACCCATCACGTGATTAAGGATTGTAATTAAATGTTGCTACTTGTTTCTTTTTGCCTTCTACTCATTTTTATACAACTTATCATAATTTTAATGAGTCAGCACAAGAAGTAATAGAATTTGTGTGCACATTAACCATCATTAATTCATATGGCCATATTTGAAAATACAGGGATGGGCTAGAACTAACAGAAAAAAGTATAAAGACTAATACCAAGACACGCTAAAAGTATAGGAACAAACAATTATACTTTTTCAAATTTTCAATTTAAGTTTTGAATTCTTACTCAACTCTATAAATGTTGTACCAATATTTTATCAGATCTACAATTCAAAATAGCATTGTTTCGTAACTTTAGGATGTTAATACCTGCCCCTCTAATTAAAAAAAATTACCTGCCCTTCTAATTAAAAAAACATTGTTTCGATTAGCATAACATAAAGATAAACATATTAAAACAAATAATGAATAAATTTTTTGATAAAAAATACAAACTATGAATTGCATTGAATTTAGGGAGAATGACAACTCAAAAAAAAAAAGTTAATGATAGCTAATAGTCTTGATAAAATTTTCTTAAAAATAATTGCAAATAATATTTATTCAAATAATTGAAAATTCATAAATTCCAATTGCAAATAAGATATCTAAGTTTAAAATGTAACTCTCAACTTAAAATAAGAATTATTGTTTGTAACTATCTTAACTGATATTAGCAACATAATTTTTAGAAAAATTTGTTAGGACTAAATGTCATTAATATATATTCTCTCAGGACTTAACTCATGTCATTCTCCCTTTAATTTGTTTGTATATGAATAAGTTATAGGAAATATATATAACTGCAAATTCTTGTAATTTAGTTCAATTTAGCGTTATCTGAAGTTTTACAGAATGACATTTTGGTTTTCAAGTTCTTATTCATATTTCCATTCAAGGATGAGGTCCTTTAAAAGATTTGAAGGACTTTTAGTCAATAAATTCCTCAGAAAGGGATTTTTCAGTAATTTTTCCTTGAATTTACTTTTATATGATAAGTAATTGTATATATGAATTTAAATGAAATGTAATAAATTGTTTAGAACTAACCCACAGTCATACACAACATCAAATTTAGCG